ACTCTATCCATTGAGCCAAACCGGTCAGGGCAGCCTAAACTTTTCTTGGACTTGACCTAGGTTCTCAGGAAGGGCCAGTCTCTTGAAGAAGTGGAGTGAATGGTGGCATTTGCCATGTATCATAGGATAAGATGTAGGAGACTCTGCAAAGGTTTCTTTACTCAAATTCACTGTATTTCCCTCAGATTCTACATTGTCATATTATCCAATCCTCCATCCATCCATTTAAGCTTAGTTGTGTTTATAAACTCTTTTTAAGTTGCAGATACTCTTGGGAGAGCTGTCAGTCATTCACAATTTCGTACGATCTATATTCAGACTGCCTTCCTCCAAGTACTTAGGTTGAAGTCAGTGACAGTGTGGTAGTGGAATTTTAATGAGCACAGGCAAGTAAAGGGAGGGAGTGCTGATGGTGCAGGGGAGAAGGAATAGTAAATGGTGTGTGTGTGGGTGTGTGTGTGTGTGTGTGTGTGTGTAGAGCAGGGAAGTGAACAAAGTGCTAAAGTGGAGGAGAAAGGTTTGAGGAAGATGCCCAAGCCTTCCAACTAGGTTGACTTCACTATTTTATCAGGTTGGCCCTGAAGGTATTAGCATTAAAAGGTATTTTTGTTGAATCCTCAAGAGAATGTGATCAAAATGCATCATATCACTTTCTCTGAAATCCTCAGAGAAAGCCCATTTCCTTTATAGTCTCCAGTAGCAGACAAGAAGGAAACTTACCTAGTTTGATCACAAAGTTGATAAATCTCTGAATACAAAACTGAAAAGGAACAAAAAAATCTATAGTCAGCATTACTGAACTGTGAAAACAATTTAAAGAACTTAGAGGTCAAATTACAGAAACCCCAAACCAAAAAGTCCAGACACCTTAGTTTTCTGAAGGTCTGTCAGAGTGGAGAAAAACAGCCAAGGACGGTTGAGATCCATTCAGGACACGGTAGGATCTTTTCATACATTTAAGCTTTGTAAAATGGGCCCGGGCAGGTAGAAAGCTCCAATGATAGAATTGTGCAATAGAGAGTTAAAGTAGAGAAGACAGCCTTTTAACCCATCAAGCTCACGTAGGTAAACTTATCAGAGAGAGCAGTTGTTTCCAAACTGGGGTACACTAACCTCTGGGGTATATCTTTCCAAGATACCTAAGGGGCAATGGGCCAAGGCAAAGATTTACGGAAATCAATTTCTAGATCCTCAACTTCTCTAAGTGCTAATTTCTAAAATGGGTCAGAATAAGAATTCACACACAGTGGAGGTGTGGGCTGTCCTTTTATATTTCCCCTTTCACAGTCCTTTTTCTCCCACCTTTGAAAAAACAAAGACATACCTCCCACATCACTTCCCTGGGACACCACTGGGAAGCAAAAAAAGGAGCAAATCAAAATGTTGGTATTGGCATCGATAAAGAAAGAGATTCCTCTAACTAATGGATAACAAGTCCTCTATAAAAATCAGAGGTTTTCAGTTTCTGCTTCCAACACTGCTTTCAGTGTTGCTGTTGTCAGCTGACGGAATTGAGTGGCACTGTGATAAAATTTCTTCCATTCTTATCTAGTCATTTACACAAACAGGGTTTCAGAGCACTTATTCTCTAAAAACAAAAAACAGAAATAGTATTGGTGCTGAACTTTAACTCGTCTTAGCAGAAAGTAAGATTCATCCAGGATTTCATGAATTCATAAAAAAAGGACTCCCATCCATCTCACTAAGAGATGCATTTTCAGTAGCATTTTACTTTTATGCTATTTCCATCAATTGTATACTGTAATAAAAATTCAGTGCAGAATATAATTTTGATATTCCAGAGCCTCCCCCTCACACCGAACTATAGCACACCACATTCTCAAGTCTGCATGTTGCTGCTTTTTTCACTTAACGTACCATGGAGATCTTTCCAGATCTGTACATATAAAACGATCTCATCCTTTGAAAGTGTATTTTGATTGTGTAACTCAAACATAATGTGTTTAACTATTTCCTTATAGATGGGTATTTGGGCAGTTTCCACTTTTTTGCAGTTATAAATAATACTGGAAGGAATATCTTTGTACACATGTCATTTCACTGAAGTAAATATAACAAATGGAATTTAAGTTCATGAGAATGGCTAAGGTTAGCCCTAATTTGTTACTTGCCTGCCTCTTCATTAGCCTGCAAACTCCTTTAGGGCAGAGACGAGCGCTATTGAAATTAAGAACTGGACTTGGCCCTTGGCATTCGTGTAGATGAGTAAGTGAGACCCACTTGCCTTCCATAAGAAGAAACAGAGAATGCGGTAAACTGATTTCCTTGCCAATACTGTTTGGAGTAGGCTGGTTTATTTGAGTGGGACTGAAGGGGGGGTGGGGTGGGTAAAAAGAGATAGAAACTGAATCAGCCAGAAAAAAGGAACCGCTAAGGGTCCATATCTCAGCTGGTTCAGAGCTTACTCCATCCTATGCTTTCCCTGTCTTTCAGCTCGGAAAAGGTTGGAATGTTCAGAAGTAACTTATTCCGGGAAACGGAGGAAAAAGAAAACCATGAATGCAAAGGGATGGCAGTGTCCACATAATTCAGACTTACTGAGATTTAAATCAAAGCCTTGCCAATGTTTAATTTAGTTGCATACCTTCCTAAGTCCCTACCCTGTTCCTGCTCTCAACTTCACCTGGTCTGGGGCTAAACAAAGGTAAATATTTAAATGAGCTATTTAAACTTTAAGTAGGAAGTAGACTTAGGTTGGCTCCGTGCTCAGGACAGACCACCTGCTCTGATCTTGCTTATGCCTTTCATTCCCACTCAGTCTTTTGGGATAGTCCTCTGAGTCACTTCATGATCCTGAAAATCCCTGTGCCTCTTGGCCTCCAAAAGTCTTTCTCTTGTGCCTCCTCTATTTCTTTCCAGCTCATTCCATTTACCTGAAGTACACATACTACCCAGCTGCTGAGACCGGTTCCACCCAGCAAGGCTCTGTGTTCCCCGGACAGGTGTGACATTCATGGCAGCCACATGTCCCCTGGGCTCCTCCCCATCACACAGGAGCTCCTGCTGCTTTCCTTTCCCTGCTTCAAAGCCAGTGGCTCCTGTTTCCTGCCTGGTGAATGTTTTCCATTCTCAGCACATTTCCAAGCTGAAGAGGACTGACCTGCTCTGACTTTGAATTAAGTCTCCCCATTTAAGGTCACCAGCTTCACAGCTTCTGATGACTTCAGCTGTGACGTCCTCAAGGGGATGGCATGTGGTCCTTTCCCCAGAAATCTATTGCTATTCTTTTACAGCCACAAAAATATCTTGAACATAGAGTAAAAATAAAGTCATTTCTAGGAGGAACAGAGAGGAGTCGTTCCTGCATGGGGCCTGTCCTGATTAGACAGGTGGGGAGCACGAACAATGGGGACAGGTTTGATTTTCATCAAGAAAAAAGTAAGGAACAGAAGGAAAGGAAAGAGAGAGGCAGGGAGGCAATTTTAACGAGGGCAGGTATGGCAGGATGAGAGGGACTAGGAATTCTCCAGTGGGAAAGAACAAAGGCTGTGGTTCAGGTGAAGGGAAGAAATAGTTAACCTGATCATTCAGGGCTGAAGAGAAGTCCTTCCGCTCATAAGCCTCCAACATCTGGTTTGTCTTTTTCCCCAGGTAGTTATAGGTACTGGAAGAAAACAGCACACACTGTAGAACCAATAACCCCGCGGGAAAGGTCCAGATCTTCAAACCCCACTGCTGCTTGCAAGGCACAAGTACACTGAGCTTCCAGAAAGTCTATTTTTAGGCCCTAACCTATCAGCGGGTCAGGTGTCTTCAGTTCTAAGTTTTCCAGCAGCACTAAGCAGTGCCAAGAGGAGGCAGAGAACACCCAAAACGAATGAAGAAAATGAAGGAAAGTGGAAAAGGATAAAATTAGAAAAAAGAAAGAAAGAAAGATGGAGGTGTGTTTAGTAAGGAACCACTGAGGCTCAGGGCACACACACAGGCACAGCCAGATAAGAGCTGTAGGTAAAATGTGAGTCCTAAAAGCCTTCTGCTGGGGAAGTGGATGAAGGAGGCACCACAGGAAAAGGGGCAAGTCCCAACGGATTACCTAAATCCCTTGACAACTTATATATTAACCTAGAGACCAGTTTCTAGAAAATAATAATGACTAATAAAATGAGAGGCCACTTATTAAGTGCCTATGATATTTTAGGTGCTTGACATAAGTCATGTCTCATTCTCTCTCAGCCCTGCAAGGTAGGCCTGGTTTCTATTTCACGGTGATGAAACTATGGCTCAAGAAGCGCTACAGAGTTATCACAAAGTTTCCATCACTTCAGGCTGCCCTGTTATATAATCCAACAACAACACAAGTTATTTGATCTGATAAAATGGTCTTGTGGACTTAGAAAAAAAACAAACAGCTCCAACTAGCAATAAAGACAAATCACTAACATCTATAACCAGAAAGATAGGTTATAAAAATTTATAACTAGAATGTTTCCCCATTTGTTAACAAAGTCTTGTATAGTCAGTCAGTATCAGGAAACGTGCTTATCTTGATGTACCAAGAATAGAATGTCTTTCATGTGTGTAGACACTAGAGTCAACATCAAGGAATTCCAAGAACTTGAAGTTCCTATTATCGTCCGGTAATAAAGTGCAAAAAAATAAAATATCATAGCCGAGAAAAGTCACTTGTAGGTACGAAACACTCCTAAGTCCCAATATGTACATGGATGTGTGAGGAGGTTCAGAATAGTACATTCATATCCCAGGGGTCATAGGTGTGTCCTCAGAGAGGAACGTGATTCTAATGAAGACGAAGTGGAGTCTAACCAAATGTACTCTACTTATAAGTTATGTTGACCGAATTAAAATGTCTAATACCAAGGCCAAAAAACAAGAGTCAAAACAGTCACAATTTCCAGGGGGAAAACCATTCCACAGTCAGCAGATGCAGGCATTCAGCTTTCCTTGGTAGAAATGGCCCTACGGTGATGATGGAGGATACAGGCCATCCTGGCTTGTTCACAAGCCATTAAGACTGTCTAACTCAATTACTCTTCGCCAAAGCCATGCTCACCAAGACACGTTGTGAATATTACTTTGCTCCCCCCTGTACTTTTCCTGCAGGGAAGAAAGGCACTTACAATTAGTGCAAATATTTCAGTCCATCTGCTTGCAGACACATTTCTAATGAATTGGTTTTAACATGTGCAGTTAACTGATCGTATTGCCGGCCTTCCCTGAGCAGGCATGGGGCCACACGATTCTACTTTCCTGCTGCAGCTTAGCTAGGGCCTTAGGCGGACACTTGACTCTCTAGTGATATCCTGAGATGCCATATTTGGGCAGCCACGACTGACCACGCGTGTGTGGAAGCATAGAAAACCCATTTGGAGAGAAAGGGAGGGGGATAGAAGGAGTTTTGCAGAGAGATGCAGAGGGGAGCGTCTCCAGAGGACTGCAGATGGAGAATGAGCTGCCTTGGCTGTTGAGAGCTTTGTAGTTCTGGGTTCTCATGTTCTTAGGCTTGGCTATACTTTCTCCTCTTGAGTTTCATATAATTTCCTAGTATTTTATAATAACAACTTAGTTCACATAAGATAGTTCGAATGGGTTTCTGTTATTTGTAACCAAATAATTTCTGACCAAGAAATTCTGTGCATTGCTCTCAGCTCCTGTGCCTGACCTCTCACTGCAACAGAGGCTTCTAATAACGATGGAGTTGCTCAGTCCTACTTAATTCCCTCTCACTGAAAGATGGTGGGGAAGAAAGGCAACTTCCATAGAAAAGGTGTACATGCAGGAAGTATTACTACTTAGGAGATGAATGCCTCTGTGGGGGGACTTGACATTTGTACATTTGTACGTGTGTAACCACTAGGGGAAATCAGTCCTGCTTACCTGCCCACTGCTCCCGTTGCTCCCATCACCAGAGCACTCAGCAGTTGCTAATCAGAAACAGACAAAGAGTATTTATTTTTATGAAAAAGAGAAGATGCTCCTGTATAAGCAGCTCCATAAATTGTTTTGGAGGGAAACTAACCTGTGGGATATGCCAAAGGGTGCCTTACCTCATCCACCCCGAAAAGGAAAGCAAACTGTCGCTGGCGATTCTGATCAACACACTGTCCGAAGTCTAGGAGATCTGTGTCGCTAAATTTCAGCCCTTGGAAGGTGGGGATCTTCTCCTGAATCCCATCCAGCAGCTCCTCAGCACGAACTGCTCAAAACAATGAATGCCTCATGGATCTTCACACCTCCAGTAAATATAAAATAACATCCCACGTAGCCCTTCCCATCTGCATTGAGTTTCCAGGAGCTTTGCTCAGCCTTAATTGACCGCAGGTTGGACATGGCCACTTGCCCTCGCCTAGCAGGTCCTATGTATTTGTCAAATTATAGCTCCAAGTCTCCCATTCCTTGAAGACTATCAATGGATATTTGTAGAGCACAACTTCTATTTTTTATGTTTAAGAAAGAAAGAAATGGAATTCAAAAAATAATCTAAAACATTTCATTTAATTGTAACAGTCTTCTTACTGGACAAGTATAGTAACAATCAAAGAAAGCTAGAAGCAAGAAAAGGTCAGAGTACCTTCCTATGTGCCAGGCACTGAGAATACAGTAGGACACAAGGTAGACAGTCCTGTCCTAGTGTGGCTTCCAGGCTGTGTCTTCCTGTATAAGAAGGAGGGGTGTGTGTGATAGACACAAGGTGTCTGCTGGGAGTGCCCAGGGGTCAACTCCTCTCTCATAACTTAACTTCCATTATCAGGTGGTGTCAATGATTGAAAAGGGCTGACTTCATTTTTGATAAGAGTGATTTATTTTGGAGCAACTGGAACGGTCTAGTCAACAGCGTTATGCTTTTATGACATGGGGTGGGTGGGAAGGAGTGGGTTCTTAGTGCAATAGGGTAAGATGTGACTGGAGGGGGAGAGCAACATGGAAAGAAGCAGCACTTACTCTTTACCCCTGTCAAGGCAGGGATGTGATAGTAATAGAATGGCAGTGCCGGGGCAGCAGCAGCCACCTCCTTTAGGAAAGCAGTGAGGTCATCTGAAAGAAAGCAGGAAGAGTCCGGATGTGAACATGTGTAAAACACTGGCTTTCCCTGGTAGATGAACCAGCTCACGAAATGCAGCCATCCTTTTCGGAAGCCGGAAATTCTTGTCCCCTCTTACCAACCCTGTGATTGCTTACTGCAGTGTCTGCAAATCACTTCATTGGAAGTTGTACTTTCCTTTCTGTAGAGAGGACAAAATAAGATGCTCACTTTCCTACTATTCTGAAGTGCTGTTAAAATACTGGTATGGCCCAGCCAGTGTAGCTCAGTGGTGGAGCGTCTACCTATGACCCGGAAGATCATGGTTGGATTCCAGGCCAGGGCACATGCCCGGGTTGTGTGCTTGATCCCAATAGGGAGTGTGTGCAGGTAGCAGCCAATCAATGACTCTCTCTCATCATTGATGTATCTATCTTGCTCTCCTTCTCCCTTCCTCTTTGAAATAAATAAAAATGTATTTTTTAAAAAACAAAACAGTGATGTGAACCTTCCCACCTATTAAGAGAAGTTCATGAAATACTCTTACAAAAATGAGAATCCCATCCGGTAGGACTCTTCTCCTCTAACCCTAGAGGGGCTAAGCTTGGTCATTGAACAACAAAGACTTTGCATTAGGATCAGAATGAGAAAGTTGTAACTGAGGAAATTCTCCAACAAAAGGATAAGCAACATCTGCTCAAAGGGAGTTATGAGAGTAGTTGCACATCCCACAATAATTCAACCAGAGTTTGGTACTTTTTCCTTTTGGGGAGAAATCCAGGTATATCAGAAGAGAGCTCACTCTAGTTTACTTAGGAACTGTTACTTTACATCATCCAATGTGAGCTTCAACTGCAATATTGCTGCAGATAACAAATAAATCCATCAGAATTGCTTTATACCACTGGAGAATGGGAGAGAATCTTATATTCTCCACCTGAATACTGTAATGATATGTTATCTATGATGAATATTTCAGACAGAAGTGTTATGTGTAATTTGTTCTTTTTCTCTTGTCTCTTTTGAGAAAAGTATTCATGTAAAAAAATGTAAAGCCATGTGGAAAAAAAAACTTTACAAATTGTTCACTTTAAATTCCCAAAATAGCAGTATTTAAATTACTTTATATTAACAACATTAATAGGTGATATTTCATGATAATTTCAACCCATTATACATTTAGTATGGATTTATTTAATCATGCATGCAAGTAACATCTTGTCTGTTTCTAATCCTTTTAAAATTTGTGTTTCTTTTTTTTTTCTGATCAAAAGGATTAAAAAGACTCAGGGTACTTGGAAACCACAAATGGTTTTTAACTGAGAGTGTAGAAGAGGAAAAAAACAATACCTTGATATTTTGGAAGACACTAGATGTGTCTGTGAAATTTCAAATTCATCACTCTCTCAACCTTATATAGAACATGTAGTCTCAAAATGCTCAGTACAAATATTCCTCTTTTTTGAGAATAATGGTCCCAAACTTTGCCATGTGACTCTGACACTCTGCACAACTCATACAACAAGGAGTGGACACCTGATCTAAACACAGGCACCTATAGGTTAACCTGAGCTTGGTGGAGGACCCAATCAGATTACTTGGCAAAAGAGCTGAAATCCTTTAATGAAGTCTTTTCTTTAAGCTCCAGGGAGGCCAACTATTCTGGAGAACTGCTGTACCATCACAATGTCATGCATCTAGTCTATAAAACTTTACTTTCATGAGTTAAATATAACCATTGTGAATGAAGGCAAGAAGAAGTAGACCACATGAGGTGCTGTGCATTTAGACCTAATTACCTTTGTTCTGTGGCTTGAGAAAGAAAGGTGCAATAACAGCGATGCCATCGGCCCCAATTTCTGCTGCATGTTTGGCCTTTAAGAGAAGAAAGAAGACCCTTATGGATCTGGTCACAATTCTCATGTGAATAGGTGTGAGGGTCTCCCCATACCACAAGCAATCCTCTGACATTAGCTGGGTATCCTACGATTCAACTCAACTCCGACACTCTCTACCTGGACATAGAGTCAGATTCCAGATGTGGAGGGCTCAGTCCCCTAGCCCCCTGCCCCCACTTCAGATTCCAGTCACCATCCCAGGTTATCACCTGTGCTTTTGACTCACTGGCTATAGATTGGAAGTTCTAACTACCCAATCCTTGGGTTGATTAATTTGCTAGAGTGGCTCTCCCAGATGGACCTACATACACACCAGTTCTTGGGACTCCTTCAAGCTCAGGGCTCCTACATGAATTACCACTTGATCCAACCTGCAAAAGAGAAAGCACAGTTGTGTTAGGGTCAAAAATAAAATACTGGGGACTAACTATAGTTATAAGAAATATTAATCATGCTCCATTAACCATGATTGCCTTGTTCTGATTAAAGAAAGGACATTCTAACCTGGGAGTTGTACACCCCTGGGACTTGGGAGTCAACCTTGGACCTGTGAGTCAACCTTGGAATGTGGTCCATTCTTATTCAAGAACTGCCTAATATCATAGTAAGATTAGCAACCTTGTTGCCCAAACAATGGAGTCCCTCCTCAGCCCACATTGTCTATTTTCCCATGCCTGTAATTCCTACTTCCCCATGTAATCTTTGCCCTACCCAATATAAGTAGCTGGCTTATGGGGGACTGCAGAGCAGATTTTTTGTGGATGACCTGCTGCTTTCCTATACTGCCAACAGTATTGGAATAAATGCTCATATATAATTCAACCTTGTCTCTGTTTAATTGGTTCAAGTAGTGACAAGCAGCCTGGACCCATCGGTTGTCTGGTTTCAGTTGCATCATCTGAAGTTTATGACAACATAGAGGGGCTGCACTATTTTGGTTTGTGCGGGTTTTAGCAGTTAGCTAATAACTGATTAATTTCAATCTCATGACTATTAAATTCTGCAGTGGCCTATTTATAATTAATCTAATTCAGGACTTTAAAAAAAAAGAATGTCCAGACAATAAAATTTTAAGGTTCAACTGAGAAGAATTTTGAAACCAATAACTGATTAATCAATACTTGAGTACTTTTTATGACAAAGCATTGTTTTAGATGTGGTATTTGATGGTGATTGTATACATAAAGATAGGTGTAAAACTTAGATTTTCTTTCTTTCTTTCTTTTTTTGTGGGAGATAGAAATAAAGAGGTTCCTCAAAGAGTACAATCAGGAACCAGCCATATGAGAAATGAAGTCACTGTAAAAAGCTTTTTCCAATCTTGTAAGATTGGTGCTAGATGCTGCTAGAGAAAACCACTGTATGGCTTCCCTAGAATTTGGCCCTAAGAGGTTTTCTCTGAGACTCCTCTGTTCATCTTTAGAAGTGCTCCATGTGGCCCCGGGGGAAGAGGCCACAGAGACTGGTCTTCTCAGGAGAGGAATTAACAAGATCCCACAGTGAAACCAAGTTTCTCCTGAGGGACTCTGAATGAGACAGACCCCATGCTGAAGGGATGGAGACGCTGCATTTCCATTTAGGCCCAATCACTGCGTCCTGCACTGACTCCCGAGTTGTTCTGTCTTGGGTAAAATGGGATGTGATATGATCGGGTCTGCATTGTTAAAAGTCTTTTGAAAGGAGAAAAGAAGCTGACTGACCTGTTTGACTCTTACCTGTAACTTTATTGCATGACCTCCCTGTCCCTGTTAACTGGCTTAAGTTAAAACAGTCATCCATTTCCTGCTCCCCTCCACCCTGGTGCTAGATGCTGCTAGAGAAAACCACTGTATGGCTTGAATACAAACTTGTCATTTCCGATTCAGGAGAAGGAGGCTCCAAAAGGCCTTCCGGTTGACCTAACTTACTTGCCTTTCCAATCAATTTCCCTGCAGTGGCTAATCCAAATATTCACTGTTCTCCTTAAGCTCTAAATTCCACCCAACTCCTTGTTCTGGGCAGATGTCTTCACTTCCTAGAAGCATGAATTTCTCAGAAGAGCCAGAAGCCTAGGGGAGCCAGTCACCAGCACCTTCCCTTTTCCCCCCAAGTCCAGGGCCAGGTAACTCAAGAGGAGGGATTGGTAGATAGCTGAGAGGCAGGTTCCAGTTTCTGGGTGGGATCTCTGAGAGCCAGGCATGTCCTGAAGCCTGGCTGCCCTTCCATACAAAGAAGGGGGCCCCTCTGCCTGGGTTCCTCATCCATGTGCTAGGATCCTTGGGTCCCTGTTCATTGTCCCACAAGCTGACCTTGAGCCTGACTTGTGACTGGAAGACAGGGAGGCTGTGTCATCGAGCAAGAGCTGCTGGCGATACAGCTCTGACAGATGAGTGTTTTTATCGGGGTGGAGCCACTCACTTGTTCCTTCCTTTTGTCACCCACTCTTCTGCGACCCGGCGGCGCTCTGAGATGCTCAGACAGTGGCTAATCCAAATATTCACTGTTCTCCTTAAGCTCTAAATTCCACGCTACTCCTTGTTCTGGGCAGATGTCTTCACTTCCTAGAAGCATGAATTTCTCCGTAGAAGAGCCAGAAGCCCAGGGGAGCCAGGCACCAGCACCTTCCCTTTTCCCCCTAAGTCCAGGGCCAGGTAACCCAAGAGGAGGGATTGGTAGATAGTTGAGAAGCAGGTTCCAGTTTCTGGGTGGGATCTCTGAGAGCCAGGCATGTCCTGAAGCCTGGCTGCCCTTCCATTCAAAGAAGGGGGCCCCTCTGCCTGGGTTCCTCATCCATGTGCTAGGATCCTTCGGTCCTTGTTCATTGTCCCACAAGCTGTCCTTGAGCCTGACTTGTGACTGGAAGACAGGGAGGCTGTGTCATCGAGGAAGAGCTGCTGGCGATACAGCTCTGACAGATGAGTGTTTTTATCGGGGTGGAGCCACTCACTTGTTCCTTCCTTTTGTCACCCACTCCTCTGCGACCCGGCGGCGCTCTGAGATGCTCAGAGACAGGCCTTCTCCCGTGGTGCCATTCACTGTTCCAAATAAAGAGGCAGTCAGTGGGACCAACCAATACCTTTCACTCATCCAACATCAACAATGGGGGTGGGGAGGGAAAGGTCAGAAATCCCTGCTTAGGAGGGAGTATTAGGGAGAAATAGCAGAGGATCCACTCAGGGAGGGAAAACGCCATTTTCCATTTTCTCCTCAGACTCAGTATTATTTTCTTCTTCACCTTGTCGAAAGCAGCAGGAAGGTGAATTCTGACTTACCATTACAAATTTGTCACTGCTATCAGGGATAGAGAGCAAAGGCAAGGATAACTGCCCGTGTTTTAGGCAAATCTCCAACACACCACCCAGTTCGATATTTGGGCCTGAATGGCAGGGCAGTCAACACCCTCCAGTCCTGGGATGTCAGGTCATGACCGCTGTCTGCAGTTTGGCATGGGAGCACTCTAGGACAACTTACTTTTTAAAATATATTTTTATTGATTTCAAAGAGGAAGTGAGAGGTAGAGAGAGATAGAAACATCGATGATGAGAGAGAATCATTGATTGGCTCCCTCCTGCACGCCCCATACTGGGGATTGAGCCCACAACCCAGGCATGTGCCCTTGACTGGGAATCAAACTGTGACCTTCTGGTTCTTAGGTTGATGCTCAACTACTGAGCCACACTAGCTGGGCTCTTTCGGAAATAATTTGAGCTCAGTAACTTGGGAGATTATATTTGATAACTTGCCTGAATGGGGAAAAGGTCATCAACTAAGTAGAAAAAAAATCAAAATAATTTTTAAAAGAAAATTGCATTATTTGGAAAAAAAATCAAATTAAAAAAAGAGCTATTACTTGCCATAATAATTCGGTGCTTAGATAAGGTTTCTTTCTGTCTGTTCAGATTCTGTTTTTTAACCTAATTGAAAATTTATTTATATTTTCTTGGGAGTATTTTTCCAAAACTTTCCCTTCTAGCAAAGTCATCCCTTAATGGGTCACAGAAAGGATGCAAATGGCACAGGAGACTTTACATTTAACTATTAAAAAATCATCACTGCGCCTAATGCATATGGCAGCACGTTGGCTCTCCAAACGCCAGCACTCAGCTGGGACAGAGGTGGGCGGGAGGCCAGGGGAAGTTGGGAAGTGTTGTTATCACTCTTGGTGTTTGAGACACTTCAAGCATGCTCCCTAGAGCCTTCTGAGGAGGAAGAATCTGTCTTCCCCACTATGGCTTCCAGCTGGAGGGAGACCCTGAGTGGTTCTGGATTCAGGTTTTGGTTGTGACATGTGGCCTGATCACCTTTTCACAGAAGTTTAACCTGCTCTGATTATGATCACAGTGCCTCCAATTTTGAAAGGGACCCTGTTGGTTGAGCAGCAGCTCGGGGCCAAGGTGTAGTGTTCTATCCAAGGGGCTGAGGCCCAGAACACAACACAAGGGGCAGGGTAGTCACAGGTAAGTATACTAGTAGTTGTCAGGCTTAAAATGTTCAAGGTCTGATTTTTCTCATTTTTATTATATGAATAAATGAGGGTAACTGCTAGACCTGCAATTCCTTCATGTGCTGCAGTTAGAGTCTTTCTTACACATACAACAGGAAAGGTCTGGGTGAAGGGAGAATAAAGCCCATTCTTAAGAAAGAGAAACCTGGGCCTAGCCAGGTGGCTCAGTTGGTTAGAGCGTCGTCCCAATCCACCAATGTGGGGGTTTTGATCCCTGCAGGTCATGTACAAAAATCAACCAATGAACGCATAAACAAGTGGAACAACAAACATTAATGTCTCTCTCCCTCTTTCTCCCTTTCTCTTTCTCTCTAAAGTCAATAAATAAAAATTTTTAAAAAAGAGAGCGAAAGAGAAATCTGCGTTTTGTTATTCCTCTAGCACTTCTTGACAGAATAAACTTGGGCAACCTAAATAATATACCCGAACCATTGATTTTCTTCCAGTGGGGGTAAAAACAATACTTTTTCTGTTGTGAAGGCACACCACTAAATTAGATAATCTTTTGAGGTGCTTTTTAGGTCTAAAATTAATGAATCGACAAATTCACAAATCTGACTTAGCTTAGCCAGGCTCACTCATTACCTATGACACAATGACACTGTGACCTCCTGGCTACTTTCTAAGGACTGAGCTAGAGTTATGGACAGAGCTAGTAGTTATGTAGAGAAATCTCTAAAGATGACTTACCAAAAATATTCTTCACTCCCTGTTTTTCCACAAGATAATCCACGTACTGACCAATGACTGAAAGGTTGATTTCTCTAAAAGACACAAGAAAAAATACAGGAAAAAATGTATATTTAGTCTTTTTTAGAATATTATTCAATCAGTCCCCAAGTCTATCACCTGCTCTCTGTTGGTAATAGTTTTTATTTGTTTTTAAAAATATATATTTTTATTGATTTCAGAGAGGAAGGGGGGGAGAGAGAGAGAGGGAGAGAGAGAAAGAAACATCAATGATGAGAGAGAATCATCGATCAGTTGCCTGCTGCATGCCCCCCAGTGGGGATCTAGCCTGCAACCCAGGCAGGCATGTGCCCTGACCGGGAATCAAACCATCACCTCCTGGTTCATATCGACGCCCAACCACTGAGCCATGCTAGCCAGGCTATTGTTAATAGTTTTTAAAATCCACCTAGTCAGCTGTGAAATTCCTAGCCTCCTCTGAATAATTCTTGTTTTCTTGTTTGTTTTGTTTTCTTCTGTCTGGTGGTTTCTCTGCTCAGCCACATGTTCCTCACTTATGTGAGCAAAACACTATTAATCAACAAAGACTTTACATTTAATTATTTAAAAAATCATCTTGAAAAAATAATGAAAAAATAATATTCAAAAAGAAGTTACCGAATCATCTTTTGTTCTTTTTGGGAAGAGTGACGTTTGGGGGCATGGTTAAATGAGAACATTTTCTACTTGGTGAGAAGCAATAATTTCTTAGGCTTATTAAATAGGAAAATTCAATCTTACTAAATTTAAGAATTTTAGCACTTAATAGTTGTGACAACAAGTGAAAGCATAACTCCATATGTATTTGCTAGTTTTAAGTCGAAGAGGATTACTAGTTGGAAAGGAACTTTGCCTCTCAAAGTGCGGTCAGTGGAACAGCAGCACCTGAGGAAGTCTTAGAAATGTAGAGTCCCAGGCCCCACACAGCCCTACCCAGTCAGAATCTGCATTGTAACAAGATCCCATGTCATCTGCATGTGCTCTGCAGAGTACTGACCTTGTAAGCATCTGATGCTTAAGGCAATAAGAGCTCTTCTCCTCAAAATCATATTGACTGTGAAATCTACAAACTGACTCAAACACAAGCCATTTAAAACCACTTGTTCTCAATCAAAATAGAGGCGGGGCAGATGGTGGCCAGAGAGCGAAAATACAAAGGAGAACTGTGGGGCAAGTCTGTGTTAAATGTTGTGAAAATGCTAACAAAGTTAAATTAGGATTCTCTGGCTCCACTGACAAAAATGCAAATGGCAGCCAACTAGTACTTTGTGTTCAAAACAAAAAAAAAATCTGATGCATAGAGAAAACAAAGACATCAAAGGCTATTGTCAAATGGAATGGGAACCAGAGAGACCAAAACAAGGAATTCACAGACAATCACTGCCCACAACATGCAAATGACAGCCAGCCCACTTCTTGCCCTTGGGAGGTGTGCCTCCAAGGGGAGCAGATTCCCTCCATAATGGCTAATGTACAGGTATCACTACCTTAACCCTCCCTGCCCACTTGCTTAAATGCCAAATCCTGGCCTCTCAGATTTGCTAAGCAGGGAGGGTCCCTGAATGCATGACCAGAATGAATTTAGGTTGCTCTTACTGAAAGATAAGATGGGTGTGTTATCTGCCTAGACCAGTGGTTCTCAACCTTCTGGCCCTTTAAATACAGTTCCTCATGTTGTGACCCAACCATAAAATTATTTTCGTTGCTACTTCATAACTGCAATGTTGCTACTGTTATGAATCGTAATGTAAATATCTGATATGCAGGATGGTCTTAGG